GGGTATTGTAATACACTGAGGTTCAGATCAGCTGGCGCGGGCGCTGTGATGCTTGAAGTCCAGATCCAGACTCAGAAACCGATGAAAAGTGGGGATCAGCTGCCTTCTGTGCCTTTTTTTTCCCCAGCTACCTGGCAGCTCCGTCCAACGTCAGCTCCTGCTGCTCAGGATTGCGTGATGACTGCCCTCCCTAAACAGTGATCCGGCTTGGGAAGTGGGGAGTGGGGGAGACTGGCAGGGGGGGGGGAGGGGGGAAGAGGAGTCTACGTGGCTTGCATCGCTTCAACTTTTCCCACTAATGGCTGCGATGATGCCTTTAACCCTTCTTGCTCTTGGCGTTGTGTTTGTGTCGCTCTCTCCACCTGCTCAGACAGCTACAGGGTAACACGCTGGGGGGGAGTGGATTTGTGCATAATGGAGAGCTGACTGGATCGTACTGATGTAATCTTTAGTCTGGCATCCCAAATCGTTCCCTGACTAAGAGGGTAATGCACAGCGGTTTGCCTTTTTTTTTTTTCCTGGTCTCGCTTTTCCTCTTTCTCCCTCCTCTAATAAAGAAACAGTTAATATCATGAGTTGCACTGCTGAACTTGCTATTGACTGTTCTAAATAACAATGCTTACCTCAGACATTATAATTTGGTAGATGATCTTCCAACCAAAATAGATGAAGACATCAAGACTTTAAATGCCATCAGTTTCTCCCCAGATATGGATATTCTGTATGTATGTACCCATAAAATCTATACATTTTCTGAAGAAAAAATAATATAATGGCAGTCTCTGATTCTGTGATATTCTATTGATTTGTCATAGGTATATGTATAGTGCAGAAAAGGTTTTTAACCATGTTGAAGAATGCTTTTTTATCATTTTTTTTTGTACGTACCTTTTATGGACTAGAATTCACCAGCATATGATAGCTCATTGCAGTCAAGAGGCTAACCTTGACTACTGTAGGTGTGGAAAGACACTTACAACTGTCTGCACTAAAAAGAGCCTTCTGACCAAACTCCTGTTGCTGCCTTTAGTAAAGAGCCATCTAGAAAGTACTTAATACATTAAGAAAAAAACAAAAACCTTTTACATGATTCAGCTCTGAGTCCCTTTACCCCCAACATCAACCACCACCAGCAAAGTAGAGGATCTGATAGGCAGTCAAAGAGCTATGTGACTTGCCCTTGCTCCTATTTGCAAGATGAAAAATAAACAGAGCTAGTTAGAAAAGAAATTATCCATAAAACATATGTTGTACCCATATGAACAATTGGTTTTTCCACTAGTTGAAATATTGGGTAGGTCTGTCATTCATAACAATGGGAATGCAAGTTCCACAATGATAGAAGGAGGAACATTGCCTACTTTATCTAGCACACCAACCTCCACCAGAGAAAATGATCATATCTACATGAGACACTTGACATAACAGAAGCAGCTTTGTAGAACTGTATCACAGGATTAATGTCTCTTCCTTTATAAAGTTTTCTTTTCATCATTTTTTTTTTATAATTACTTGGCTCCTTCCAATATTTATATAGCTGATGGATATATTTCCCTGTGATAATGGTCTCTTCCACTGATGTCATTTTTAAGTACTGTAATAGTTTTCCGTAAAAACAAAAAATGCAGAATAAAGTATACAAACTCAAAAAAACCCCAAAAAACAACCAAAAACCACAAAAGACCTGCTGGTATATCAAAAGCACTTTCAAGATGTTATACTGAGACAGAGATTTAATTGTCCTAAAGAGGTCATGAGAAATGTATTTAAAGCCAAGATTTCTACCAAAATAAATAAATAAATACTACAATGAAGAGAAAGATGGTGTAAAAAATGTCTGTTCAAAAGTGAGCAGTGATTGTGCATGTTTCCGTTATTAGGTATCTAACCACAGTCAACCACAACCATTTTAAAGGGGCTTGTTTTTCAGAGAGTGAAAGTTCAGCCTTCCCTGAAAAGTCAGATCCCTTTCAGGCATTTTGAATTAAGGAACCCAAATTCTTACACATTTGTAAATGCAAGCTAACTGATTATAGGGTTCACTATAAATACATGTACGTCATCAGTAATCAGTTTAAATTACAAATTAGAGATACATCATCAGCAGTCAAGTTAAATGCAAATTAGACTGGAAAAATAATCTAAGCAGCATCACCTGTTTTGGAAGGAAAGGGGAGAAACATAAATAGAGCAATCTTTTTTTCCAATCTAGAGTGCCTGGCTGAGAAAATTTAATTTTAGTAATTTTCAATTCCAATTGGAAGCAAAGATCTTATAATCAACTGAAATAACTTTAACCTATGTTATTGTGATAGAAGGGGACTTCCTAGTGAATGTAGAAAATAATGTATATGCTAAATATAACGTTAAAATATCAGAGTGAAGTTATATTTATGAGAAAATTAACTAGTGAAAAGAATCCTACTGGATTATGTTCAGTATATCACTTTTTGTTGCAATATTTATGTCTTATGATACATTTTAAATGTTTCTAAGTAGAAATTATTAACTGTATGTAATTGTGCACAGAAAGAACAGCTTATCAAGATAAAACTTACACTAACATAGAGAGACCTTGCCTGAAGTCAACTATATCAGGTGATCCCTATGATGATTCTCTGTAGGGAAGTAAGCTGAGTAGCTATGCTGAGAGTTTCTCTGCTCTTTCATTTTATACAAAGGGTCTCTGTCTTGACTTACACAATTTAGTGTAGAGGAATAATGGGTTGTGCTTTGTGGTGAAGTTTTTGGATCCATGATTGTTTTATTTCCCTATTTTGGTGTTTTAAATAAATGGTATAGAGAGTCTGTGTACTACTTCAGTCCATAGCCTGAGTATCTGCACAGAGAGAGGGAGATTTTCCAAAGTGCCAAAATTATTTCACAGGAGAAGTCCCATTGATTTGTCTGTCCATCTGAATTTTGTAACTGCAGCTCATTTCTTATTCTTTTAAAAAAAATCATGTTACTTATACTTACTCATGAATAAGCTCCATACACATCTATCAATCTGCACGAGTCAGTTCATGACACTGATTTTTTCTAGATTAGGTATTGATCCCATTAATCCTATTTACTCTATGTTTCTATCTAGTCCTGTTATTGGAGAAAATAGTTGATGTCTATAGAAGGGGCAGTCATCAAAGTGTCTTATTGGGGTTCTTTACATGAAGAATAGCCCAGAACAGTTATGGTGGAATACATTTTTGACATTAGCTCCCACTCAAACTTATTCCACACTGATAGTGTACATATAATGCAAAATATGAAGGTTCATACATGAAGTAAGTGCAGAACAGTTGTTGCATCATATCTTGGTGCACCCACTTTCACTGATTGATCTATCTCAGATTTCTCATTAAGAAAGCTTCTCAAGACACTGTATCTGTGGCATATTAAAGGGTTTGTTTGTTGATGTTTTGGATATTATTTGTGTTAGTTGTACATAACAGCTGTTACTAAGTATTTTAAGGATAGATTAGACAAACACTTGTCCAGGATGGTTTACATAGGGATGATTCTACCTAGATGACCTCCTGAGGTCCCTTGATGACCTATTTTTCCATGATCCAATTACTTTAGGCCTTGATATTGCCTGGGAAATGCATTGATTGATTATCTTGTTTTAGAGATACAGAAATATAAAGTGACTCTGTTAGGTATGTCATATTTCTTTTCTACCTAGCCATGATATATTTTTGGCATGTCAGCAGACCCTAGGAAGAACTGACATTTTAGAATGACTTTTTTGTTTCTATGAATCATGCTTTTATTTTAAATGTGTTCTATAGGGGAATTGATCATTTGTCCAAAAGGATCTCTCAATGTTCCGTTACGCCTTTTTTAACCTTTTACCACTTATGGTCTGCTACCACTGGAATTTGTGATATTATTTTGGCCCTGTTGCCTCTAGTAAGATTAAGGCATCCAACCATGTCTCTGGTTACTTGGACTCAGGGATGTATTTGATCAATATATTCAGTGTCTGGTTGAGAAATGGATGATTTTTAGCTGCAGGCTGCCACTTTTTCTGTAGATGCAAGCCCTCAGACCATTGCCAATACCTCTCTCCTGTCATCTCTTTGTAAAGCAAGGTTTTCTATTTTTTAAAAATAAGATAAAAATAAAAATTCTACATGGGCCATAATAATATTTCCAGTTTAAATTTTATGTTTAACCACTAAGGTATTTCTACACAGAGTGCATTATATGGTAGCCAAATGCTCTGCGTGTACTCATTTACATAATCATAGCTGCACTCAGTACCCCTCATAATTCTTTCTACTAATATCCTCTTGAATATAAAGTATCCTCTGGGATACACACATATAATTCACATTTTCAATGATTTAAGTGACTTGGGGTTACAAAGGAATCTTTGAAGGTAGAATAGGCCCACAGGGCTCTGCTCATTACAATGTTATGTAGGCTTTCTCTACTGCACAAAAGGACCTTTCTCATGAATCATTTGTTTAGCCTATTCTGTGAAATGTCTCTCAGAATAAATGGAGCCATGTGTCAATGAAGAGTTTGTAAATACTTGTCTTTGTCCCATTGTCATCCTTCTGCCTGAAATTCAAATCTTTATTCCTTTGAATGCAAAATGCACATCACATGGCTGGAGCCGTTTTATATTTGTGCACTTATGTTAACCTGATGTTACTATTCTTAAGTTACTGTTCCACTGAGTTGGAATAGTAATGATACATCACTTGACATGCCTTTGATTGTATG